ACTTTATTTATTTTTCAATAAATTTCAAGAGACTTATTGAATATTTAGATGACCACACATTATATGTTTTTTTCCCATGTTTTCATTATGTTTTAATACTTTATATCCATATGTCATTCTATTTTGCAATTTATGTATCTTAGTGAAATTATGTATTTTTTTTAAATATAAGCAGACACTTATTTATATGACATATAATAAATTTACTTAAATCCGCCTAGCCGCATAGGTGCTAGACCCCAACCTCTCGCCCGCCTAGCGCCTAACATCTTTTAGAATTTTGGATGATGTTGATGAGAAGAGACTTTTCAATGTGTACAGAGCACGGGTACATACGCACATGTTATTATAGAAGTAGCGGGACACTTAAAAATGAAAAATAAATAAATAAACCTTCCCTCTGCTCATATAATAACTTATGGCATACCTTTCTGTATTCTGAACACATTGAAAAATCTCTTTTCGATTTGAGAACCCGTGAATCTCCTTCTACCTGAACACGAGTGTCAATGCCCATAAACTTAAGGCCTTGTTTAAGGCATGTAGCACCTGCTTACAAAATTGACGTATATATAGCATAAGAGAACTGCTCCTGCAGCTTTTGAATGTTTATAACATTAGGATATACGTATAAATGTTGAATATATCCCTAACTAGTTTGCAGCAAATTCGATCACATTTCGTTTCTTAGTTATTGTCCAACTGTCATGCGGAGCCAGGATTTTGGCTTAGGAGAGGTCAAAAGTCTCACCTTAAAACGCTATTTTGATTTAAGAAAAATAAATATATGCCGTGTTCTAATTACCGACCACCAACATTTGAGTTTAGTATAATGTCATTCTTGTCATCATCTTTCTCAACTCAACTCGATACCTAGTATCATAACTCAGATTCAAAATAAAATAAGAAAAAAGAAAAGAAAAGTAAAAGTAATTGTATCAAGAGACTTCAAAGAAAAAAATAAAAAAATCAAGCAAAAATAAAAAATAAAAACCAACTCTCTCATGGCCCTTGCCTAATTCCTGTCTTTCCCTCTTCTGATCACCTAACAGTCTCTCAAAATTCGTCACTGGTTAACTGCATAAGGGCCACTAGTCTCAAATGGAACTCAATAATGAAAATAAGAACAAGGTTCTGGTTGAGACTCTAAATCCTTGATAAGTCTTTGGAAATTAGAGGAATAACTCTAATTTTTTCTGTGTGAAAAAAATAGTACAATAGTCTCGGGACCATTTTGATATCTTCATGGTTCCGCCCATGTAAACCTTGTCCTTTTTTTTTTCCCTCATCAAGTAGCACATGTGCATCACATTCTCATATCCTTATATAAATATAAATATAAACATATATATATATATATATATATATAGTCTCAATACATATATTAAAGTTCCTCTCTTTAATCTGATGGGGACTTTGTATACGCAAACAGACAAAGTATAATCTAAACCTGTATGAAGGGGACCACTCAAGTCTCTACTATATAGTATATACAGCCGCAGCGTCGCATCGCAAATGAAATCACGTAGCTTTCTCCCATTTTTTTGTCTAAATAAAATAAGCTCTTTCTACATTATTTAATCATACTTGAGCTCCTTCAAGTTATTTTGTATAGTTTTCAAATAAAATTTTATGCATTTGCGTTGTGTTTGTGCTTAAATTTGGCACAATTTCACTTATTTGTGTCTAAGGCTAAATTATGGCTTTTTGTGAGGTTATTTTGAAATTAAGCTAAACTTGCATCAAGTGACATATATATAATTGACTTACAGATATCAAATGACATTCATTATTATATGTTATATGCTTATAGATATTTTTCATGCAAGTGCAGCAAAAGTAGATTTGCTTCTACAATGTGGTTTGTCCTCAGTATATCTGAACCCAAGGCAAAAAAATAAAAAAAAAATAAAAAGACACTCAGATAATCAAACAAATCTCTCTCTAGAAAACCAACAGCTGCACCATTTTCATTTCAAAGCTTTATTCTACTAGCAAGCAGGTTTAAAAACCTTTTATATCAAAAGATCCTTTCAATATTGCAAGCTCTTTCATTTCTTTTAATTAAAGTCAAATATGGTTCAGCTGAGGGTACTAGGCAAGGTCATAGATCACTGACAAATAACTAACAACATTTTACAACCTCACAACTTAAAGTTTCTTACTTCGGTTTTGATGTCGTATCTATTTAGATCTTTCTATGAGCTCAACCATCTGACTGATGACTAACGATATTTGACAAGCTCGCAACTGAAGTATTAGGTTTCAATTATGTTTTCTCGATTTGGTTTTGACGTGGTGTGCATTTGGATCTTTGTCTCAACCATCTACTTCATGAGGATACTGGCTAGAGCAAAGGCCATAGATCACCGACCGATGACTAACTACATTTTACACCCTCGCAACTTAAAGTATCGGTTTCAATTATGTTTTCTCGCTCCAGTTTTATTGACGTGGATGTATTTGAATCTTTGAATGAGCTCAACCATCTTCTTCATGAGGGTACTAGCAAGAACAAAGGCCATAAATCACCGACTGATCACTAACTGCATTTTACAATCTCGCAACTCGAAGTTTCGGGTTTCAATTATGTTTTCTCGCTTCGATTTTGACGTCAAATGCATTTGGATCTTTGTATGAGCTCAACCATCTGCTTCACGAGGGTATTAGAGCAAACGCCATAGATCACCGACTGATGATCGATGAGGTGGAGATGGAGAGTGCAAAGCTGACCTCTTCCTCTCCCACCGTTGCCATCACTCTTTTGGTAGTTACTTTTTTTTTTTTTTTTTTTTTTTGGGGGATGCTCATGGAAACAAACCGCATGGGTTTTGGCCCCAGCCAGAAATGAAAGAAAAGCGCGAGAGAAATAAGGCATGTGGTTTTGGAACCCTCAAAAAAGGAACTTTATTGGGAACCAAATTTGGCAAATAGTGAAAGCTGACGATGGTTCACGTGAGAACTGAGGAGCGTTCGTGAACTATTCTCATTACCCTTTAAAGCCTTGGAAATGTGCGTGTATGTCATGCCCAATTGGTGGGAGACAAATAGTAACCGTGCGATTAAGGACGTGTTTGGCTACTTTGGAAATGTGATATGTGGATTGGTTAAAGATAAAAGGCGGTATCTTCATTTGTACTATAAAACCATGTTTTCAATTAAATTTCCATTAACATTTTCCTAAATTTTTGTAAGAGAATATTTCCTAAATTACTCATCTCTTTTTTGCAGAAAATCGATGCCCCACTTACTAATCGGGAGGCTACCAACTGATACAACATTATGTATGTATAATTAATGGTATTCGTAATTTAGGAGGTTAGGTGTGGAAATTAAAGTGTTTAGAAAAATGGATAAATACATAAGCAGGAGTTGGCGATCATAATTTAGTAAAATATTTAAACTGAATTATGCCCCAAGACACCAATTAAGTTCATTAATAACAGGCTGATTGTGAAGTCCAAAGATAATGTTTTCAAGTCGTTTGTTAATTACTTGTATTTTAAGGTCTGTGAGCTTATTCATGATGAGTTGAATTATTCCGAACAATTTTGAATGAAGCAGTATGTATTTCTTAATTCTGTTAGAATGTGGCTTTTAGTGTGACAAAGACACCCCAGAAGTTTGTATATGGGAATATTATTATCTCAACGCTTTAGAATAATTTATTTTAGTTACTTTGTTTCTTTGTGTATACAATAATCTTCAAATTATATGGTTGTCACTTGTTAATGGTTGGAAAATGACTCGTTAAGTGTTATTTTCGCTCTCCGATTGATTGATTTTGATCTTCCTTGGCCTTTTCGTACGTAACGGTCTATTTGTTTGGATAACATTTGAGAAATGACTTTTTACGCCTCTCACATATATCACGAGGGAAATGTTGTTGCGGACCATTTTTGCTAACATGGGTTTGTCTTCTCCAACTTTGGTATGACATGGTTCCCCTCTGCCGGCTGCTCATGCTGCTTTGTTTTTAGATTATGTTGGCTTGCTTGGCTTCCGCTTCTCAAATTAATGTGTATCTTGGCATATAGATTTATCTCACTCTTTTTTGTTCCCTAACCTTGTGGAATTGTTCGAATTGTTTTGCAAGTTTGGACCTTTAGGTTTGGCTTTAGATGAGGTTAGGTTTCTTGTCCCCTCCCCCTCCCCTTTCTTTTTCTTGTATCTTTTTTGTTTTATCTTTTAGAGGGATAACGTTTATGTTCCCTTTCTTTTTCATGATTTTTACGAAGAGTAAAGTTTTTGGTCCCCTTAATTAGGTGTAACTTTTTTTTTTTTTGGATTATCAATAAAATCTCTCTCATACCGTTGAAGTTTAAAAAAAATCAGTTTTCCGATTTACATTTTCTGAGTTAATATACCAGTCAGCGAAATTTCCATCATAATTTGGTGTGTGGCAATACACGGAGCAATGGAAAGTAAATATGTTTTTTTTTTCCTTATTTAGTAAAAAAGTCCAAAAATTCAACGACTTATTGTTTGCATATTCGAATAAACATATGTATAAGGTAGACATAGCTTCACATACATGCAAACTTTTCACATAATCAATAAAACACATTTATTTTCCGGCCTTTTTATATAAGATAGTACTAATAACCATGCTCCTCTAAAGGCATCTCCAACTCTGCTCCAAAACCTTAGTTCGATCTTCGATGCATAAATTTCCTCCAACCCTACTCTTAAACGCAATTCCAAAAATGTTAATTTTTTTTGGATTATCAATTATTCTATTTCATATATGGAGTAGACACCATCAGACTCCATAATTTGGATTATGTAATTTTTTTCTTATAATGCCTATACTAATCATTTTTGCCATATTACTTTTTTTGTTTTTTTTTAATTTCCTTTCATATCTCTCTCACATTATAACTATTATCATATCACAAATTTGATTTTAATTTTTTTTATCAAAAATTTTATACCATTACAAATATTTCATTGAGATCTTTAGTTCAAGTCTAATCTTGACTTTATAATACAAATTTTGAACTTTAATAGTTAAGTATATGAAGTTAGTATAAGATAAATTTCAAGATGAGTCATGTGTATAGTAAATTTACATTTAAGTATATATTTTTTCTTTTGTTGGAAAAGTGTTTTAAGTATATAATTTTTTTTTTTGTTGGAAAAGTGTGACGATCTTTTTATAATTTGTTGTATTTTTCTCCTTGAAGCTGTAAAATGACGAAAATGCTCATTTTAGGCTAAGTGAAATCCTACATAGATATTTGAGCTCACTTCATATTTTATCTCCTTTCTTATCATCTTGTAGTACTCGTTATTATGAACGCTCGATCGGAACATGATTTGAGCTAAACAGAAGGTGGGTCTGTTTCAGAGAATATCTGTTTTCTGTTTTAGAAATATCTCATTGTCTTTTATGTGAGATATTTCTATTTAAAGAAATATCACAATTTGGGAAATCTTCCCACCTTCACATCTCTCTCCACCATCTCATCTTTCTCTCTCTCATCTCGGCCTCCCTCTTCTCGCCGCAACTCAAATAAACGACGTCATCTCAGACAGATTGACGCTCAAAACTCCACATTTTCACTCACCTGGTCACGTCGAACCCAGCCATGGGTTTGGATTCGTGATAATCTGAACCCAACTGTACAAGCAAAGGCTTCGCCCAGGCCAAACTTCCCGACGAGCTTTTCATCGTTTTCCCAGCAAAGGTAAGCTTATAATCCTCTTAAATCGTTGCACCTCATTTAGTAGATTAGATCTTGTGATTAGTTGTCGAAATGGTGAGTTGTGGACACAGATCGCAGAGGAGGAAACCTACTGCAGTTCTAGTAAGTTTTGTAGAGAAACGACATGGGTTTTCTGACTTGATCTCGTCAAGTTTAGACAAGATCGTGACCACCAAACAACTCTCCAATGTCCCTAGGCTCAGTTTCGTGCAACCCGTTGCAGTTACGAGATTTCCAAATTCGGGCCGAAACTTTCCTAGCCTATTTAAAGGCTTGCCATTTTTTGGCCAAACCATGGTAATGCTTGGATTCTACACCCTCAAATTGGCCTAGGTTGTGAATTTCGTAGTCATTGGTTGAATACTTCAAGCTCATCGCGTGTCTGGAAAAATTTCGGCAAATTTCCTAGTTTCCGGCGACACAGGCAGCTGACGAAACGCAGTTGACCAGCTCACCAGAGAAGATGAAGAAATATATATTCTGTCAATTGGGCGAAGTCAGGCAACCATTACTTTTTCCATTAACCTTAAATGAATATTCCTTCCGGTCTTGGTATGCAAGCGCGTGATCATGCATAGCTGAAGCGTGGCGGTTCCCGGCGGCATGTGGCGGCACGTGAGCCCTGTTTTTAACACTTTCAACTCCACTTTGAGCAAGCAAAAGACATAATTTTTCAAGTCTTTCCTTAGTATTTACAAACTTTGGGTAATTTAACTATGAGCATGTAATAATTTCCCATATAAGAAAAACTTAGCCCGAAGAGTTTAGAGGCCAAGGAAAGTAAGGCGGCTACGACCTGATTACATATTAGTGAGTGGACTTTGTTTTCAAGCATATATATATATATATATATATATATATATTTTGTAGTTTCCATAACTGCTTGGATAATGTGTTTTTACGTCATATCATGCTTTTACTTATGATTATAAGTATTATTTGAGGGTGTTGATGTGTATGAAATTATTTTGGCATGATCACACGTATATTTTTATTTGCTTATCATGCATGCTTATATCGGTGTCTATAGTACGCGTTCGAGCTAGGATCGGCTAAAGTGTATGTTCACATTGCACAATTATACTCACTATGGATCTATTGCAGGTGTTAGCATGTATTGGTTTGCATTAGGCAATTAAGACTCATATGTGATGCGTTTAGCACCAGCTTCATGTGTATGTAGTATTTGAGCGTAAACACCCAACTTGTTCCATGTAGTTACTTTCTGAATGGACTTATGTCTATACTATTGTGATGAGCATACTATTTTATATAGTTGAGATGTTGCAGTTTACTGTACATTTGAATATTTGTATTTACCCAGTAAATGTGAGAATTTAATTTCTTGTATTTGTGAGAATATTCATCCTAGTCGGGATGAGAATATTCTTCTATAATTACCCTCTTATCTATGCTCTGACATTACATTTATGTAATATGGATACATCCCGCACTGCACATTCTCGTAAATTAGTTTTAGGTTTCGATTTTAATTTATTCACACTTTTACCCAAAAATTATCATAATATGATTTCGTCACCTTCCAAATATTGGCCAGCAAGCCTCGGGTTTAAGTATCCACCTAAATATCCGATAGGGATGTGTCAAAAAGTATAGAGTATTAAGAAATATTTTATTTTAGAGTTTCAAATATAGAGTATGGTTGAGGTAGGAAACTTTTAGAGTTGGAATATTATGGGGATATACCATTTTAAAATCAAATTTTAGAGTTTGAAGTAAGAGTAGAATTGGAGATGTTATAATGAACCCAACATTGAGAAAGAATAAAGGAGCTTCTAATGGCTTATAGCACTAATTACTACTGTTTTAATAATATTATAAATAAAAACTTTATTTTTGTTGGTTCATGGTCATTGCAAATCATTTTTTTAGTAAAATAATATTCCACACTAAGAAAAAGTGAAGAGTTTAAACTTAGAATCTGATCGAAAAGAAAATTCTTAATTACAAAGTCAATCTACCACTTCTGGTCAATGTGGCTCTTTACGAGTTCCAATTACATTTCATGCATCATAAATATTGGAATTATTGATATTTCTTGTTGCGGCCTAAAGTAATAAGGCACTAAGAACAGCTCCAGCGGAAGCTCCTGCTCGAGGGACCAGCTCCGGAACAGGGCTGGATTGCCCGAGGGAAGAAGCCCAGCGTTGGCCGGCGAAGGAGCCTGAGCAAGCTCAAGCGCTAGGCTGGTCGATTTGTGCCGGCCCGAGCGACCGAAGGCAATCTGACGTGGGCTGACATTAGGACAACGTCTCCACGCTTTTTGAGGGCCACGGAGGTTGCTGCTGCTGTTCGGGGCAGCCGGGCGCTGGTGAGCCTGAGATCGCTTCAAGGCGGCCATGAGAGCATTAGAGATGGGGGTCTCCATGCCTGGACTCATGTTTTGGGCAGTGGGTAACTGCTTCAGAGCCACACTGAAGCAGAGCTCCAAAGCTCGGCACTGCAAAGGGTGGGAGGAATTGGGGTGAGATTTGATGCATGCTTGGCGGAGGAAGCCGGTGGGGGAGGACAAAAGGGTTCCGTCGACCCGCTTCGGCAGAGACAAAGGCAGCAGCAGCAAATGAAATCAACGACGGAGATGCAATGGTTAAGACAAGTTTTGTGAAAAAATCCTATTATTTTATTGCCTATTGCCAGGGCTATTCAAGTGCAACGGTGGAGATGCAAAATGTAGTTATTGTTCATTAAGGGCAGTTACTATTCACTAGGTGGATTAAATAGTGAATAGCCTGGGGAAAAGGCTCCCATGCTGGAGTTGCTCTAACAAGTGGCAAACAATATCGTATTGCATATATGTCAATTTACTTGTACCATGTTATATTGTGCGTGTTAATTAAGACTAGATTTCCTTGCATAATTCTCAAAAGCAAAAGTTTCAATGCATGTACATTTCCAAACGTATTTTGTCGCCTAGAACACCTAAGGTAACATCCCTCCATCATATCATTTTTTTAATAGACAATATTATCTATAATAAGAAGGAGGGGATGAATTTAATCTCACAATGTACTAGTAATAATGTGGTTTAAATTCACCTTTGATGAAAATTGAACCAAAGATCTCTCACTCACAAGTGAAGAGGAATACTACTAGACCGTAATACTAACCGACATTCCTCCTAACCTAATGGAATGTGCACAAGCATGATCCTTGTAGGGTTTGGGTTCAAAGGTTGGTATCTGCAATTTGATGTTCTTCATGGTCCCTCCATCATACATGTTGAGCCATATCTGTACAATTAAACAGAAAAAACTGAACTACATTTCAATTAATAACTAAAGAGTTAAGATTAATTTCAGTGAATCTTCGTAGAGATAATTTTCAATAATGGACCCCAATGAGTAATTAGCACGTATTAAGTTACTAATTAGTTTTTCTGTTGAATGTTACTAATTAGTTAGCGCTTGAATGTTATTGTATGTTTTAAATTTTACACTTTTGCTATTTCGTTAGCATAAGAGCTTATTGATCAATCTTCCCTTATTTTGAAAGAAAGTACACGTATTTAAACTTTATAGTAACAATGTTATTTGTTTTTAGGAATAATTAAAAATGTTACGATATAATTAAAACAAGCAGAGTATTATTCAAGTATCTTAAAAATAAATGAAACAATCCTGCAAGATTCTTTTAGAAAAGTTGGAAGAGATGTCAAATCGAAATTTCTCTTCTATTGATCAAAAGAACTGTTACGAATCATGTACGAACCACAAATAACGCTATCTTTTAGGTTAAGATTAGAGTAGTAATTCTTAACACACTCTTTTTATTTTGTGCACATTCTATTTTGATTTTGATCATAATTTTACTTTAATTGTTTAATGTAACTGTTACGAAACTATATATGTGTGTAAAGTGAGAAAGAGTGAAAATTAATTCCCTAATATTATTCTCAAACCATTTTTTTTGCAGTGAAAGAAATATGTAATGGTGCAATAATCTTTACATTTATGTGGTAATTATTTTAAAAAAATCAAAGCCCAACTAATCCCGTATCTATTAACTATCTATCATGTCATGCACAGGAAGCTATGATGTGAATTGATATGAACACAATTCTTTAAATAACTTTTTGGATATCACGATTCAAGAATCCGAACATCGTGTATTACCATTACATAATAGGAGGAAACCATCCTTTTCGGATCAAAATCCTCTCCTGAGTTTAGGAGGATGAGTTTTCTGAGTAAACTTATCTTTCAACGGTTATAATTATTATAACTTTTAGAATGATTCATTATTTGTAGTTGTTGGATCAAATTTCAACGGTCTGATGAGTTTGCTCAAGAGGCTCAGTCTCCTAAGCTTTGGAGAGGATCTTGCTTTTCATATGATACTGTTTTAATGGCATTTTAATTTATTTTTCCAATTCCCACCAAGGACAAACCTAGCAAAAAAAAAATTTTTAAAAATGACATTAAAATTAATCATTTACTACTTCAATTTTGAAAACTCTAGCTCTAAAGAGCAAGTCCTAGAGCAAGTTAAGGATGGAACATATATATTTGTACAATTAAATCCTTAGAAATTAATAGTATTGGGATTAAGTAAATTTATTAATTTAACGAACAATTTCTATCATTGATTTGTGATTTTCCGCACGTATCATATGGATATCACATTTTCTTCTCTCTCTCAGTCTGTGTCTTTCCCTCGTCTCTCTCTCTCGACTCTCTATCCCCATCTCTATCTCTGTCAATCGAGGACGCTCTCACCTACCACCTCAACACTACGAGGTACCTCCCACCCACCACCTCACCACCATCTTCGTCAATCGAGGTCTCCATTGATCCTAGGTTTGCTTTGGGTTTGATTTGAGGTTTTTTTTTTTTTTTTTTTTTTTTTTTTTGTTCTTTCTCTGATTTAGGTTTTTCTGCATTTTGGTTTTAGTAGGAATTTGTAGAGTGAGGAAATAGAACATAAACTCAAGCATTACTCAACGCTGCCTTTAGACAATTCTCCACATCAGGTTTTTCAGGTTGCACAAGGACATGGACCCATGGAAACATTAGAACAAACTGGCCGGGTTAGGTCTAATTCCATTTTTGAAAATATAACAACCAACTGCATTTCATTTCCAAACAGATCCGATCCAATTCTTTCAAATTTGGATCTGACCTTGCTCATGCCCACCCCTAATTTTTTATTTAAAAAATATATTCATGACCCAATGGCCAATCATACAATAGATTAGAGAAACAAAGTGAAATTTTTCGACCAAAAAAAGAAACAAAGTGGATTTATTCCCACGCGCTTGTTATAAGCTTCAAGATGTCACGCGCGGAATTGACTAGCAAAGAATGTTGTGATTACATAGCTCAAAACATGCAATTGTTTTGTTTTCATTTTGGTTCAATGGTTTGATTAATGTTTCAATTAATTACGAAATTAAAGAAGCCAAGATCGTGGAGCATAAAGTACTCCATGTAAGAGGATTATCATCATTTTTGGTATTGGTAATGAATGCATGTTAGGAATCTCTTGTTCGATTGTCTAATAATTTTTTTCGGTTACATCATCGTAAAATTGAACTCTAAACTTATTTTAATTCTTAAATATCACTTACCCTTCCTCACCAGTAATCATTTGCTTAAATAGTTTACTTATTTACTATGTCATCAAACTACAAGTCTCATACTAATCACATGAATAATTGTGTTAATAATTTGAAAAATTGATTGAAATGGTCAATTTGTAAATCTCAATTGTTGGACGGGTCAAAATCAAATACATACAACATATCAATCAACCATTGACGATACATGAATCGAGTATTGAAAAGTAATTGTTTCACAAATTAGCATGTATAAGTGATTGTTACGGCTAGTAAACCAAACAAATCTATTTGATAATTTGACGACATAATTTGTCAATTTTGTTTGTTACAAATGAGAGTTTTGAACTCTGAATACCTAGCTGACTCATAACCATCACCATATCCTCGATACTGTACTAATCCTGTTTTCTAAATTTTCTGAAATGTATGGTACAAACTGAGAATCTCTCACATGTGAATAAAAATAGGGTACATAGTGCATACCACATAACATGAAAATTTGCTTGAAAGTAGAATTATGAGATTGGCCATACACGCCATGTGGAAGCTCTCCATGGTTCCCTCTCTCTCTCTCTCTCTCTAATGAAAAGCTATACTTTTCAAGTCCCAAGTACTTTTGTTACTCACCACCAAGAGGCAACAATTTTGTACTCCCTCCTGTATCTTTCTTTGTGCATATAACTGAGTAATGAACATAAAAAGGTGGGGGAGAAAAGTGATTGGGGCTCATTGCCTCTTAAAATTATAATGTGATATGAGTTGGGTGCTTGGAGAGTGAGAAAAGGAGAGGAGATAGGGGAAGGATTTAGTCATCATTTATTTGTTTGTGGGGGCATCTTATTCAAAAAAAGCAAGGGCATGAACCATGCTTCCCGATCATATACAAATCCCCATACCATTTGTAGTTATCACTCAACATAAAAAAAAAAAAAAAAAATCTCAAAAAAAATAAACCACCCATCCTCCCTTTTTGTATATTTTTTGTTAATGTTGGCATGCTTGACCTCTTTTTCTTTTCTTGATAAATTTTTTAAGTGGTTTTAACTGTGAGAGGTTTTTTCAGAAGCCTTTTTCTTAGGCATGCCCAATCATCTTCTTATACGTTTTGGATTGTTTTGTTTGAAATGAGATCTATCTTTTCCCCTCAAAAACCATCATCATAATATCAATTATTTTCAAGAGAGTGAGACATGACCTCCAGTGACCCCTAATTATGTGGATGAAGATGAGAAAAAATTTAAAAACATTGTAAGGCAAATTTTTATACTTTGACTCGTTTAGAAACGTTTTTATTAAAAATATATTTCTCTACAAACTCACTTAAGGAGATTGTTTAAGATTATTTCTTTAACAAATACTCATTTAAATTTATTTATAACAAAAGTATTTTATTAGAAGCACATTGAAAATTTTAATAAAAATGCAAGTATTTCTTAAGAAGCAAATAACACAGTTTTTTCTAGAATGCACTTCAAGTACCTTTTTTAACCCAAAAATATTAATTTGTTCTGCCAAATAAAGTCAAAAGTAATTTTAACAATTTAAAAGCATTTTAAGTTATTTTAAAATATTTTTAATTAAGCGAGTTTATTCCAAACCAGAAGCACTTAATTTTTTCATATAAACATATAACAAACGCTTTTAGTAATCTAAAATTGCTTTTAATTATTTTAACCTAATTCCAAACAATAATACCCAGAAAAATCCCATTTGCGGATCACTCATCTTACTAATACAGATGGAGGCATTGACTCACTCACGGAAACACAGAATCCGTCCACAAACCAAACCCCAAGAGCGTGCAAACCACTCTGCGATTAACCACGGTCCTCGATGAGTCCCTTAAGATCACCATTGGCGCGTGTGCTGACCTCCCCACACAAGCTGCGTGGAGTCAAACCAGGTTGTTTTCGAGTTGGGAAATAAAAACACAATTACAGAGAAATTTAGAGAGTGTCAGAGGTTAGGGGCAAGAATACGTGCAGTATTTGAAGCAAGCACACAGATCTGGATCCCACTCAAAACACCCGACTCGGACACTCAACACACTCACTCACTCACTTTCTCTCATCACTCGGTCCTCGTCCTTTATAATACTTCAGAGAGAGACCCAACAGAGAGAGATGCGAGGAGGAGAGAGAAGCTCAGAACCCAAAAACCCAGCAGTGCAGCAGCAGAAACAGTGGCAGCAGCAGCAGTGAAGCAATTGATGGTTCTTCTGCTGCGGCAAAAGAGGGCCTAAAAGCTAGAAAGAAAAGGCGGTGGTTTGCTTTTGTAGTAAAAGTTTGACTCGGATTTTC